AAAAAAAAGAAAAAAGAAAGAAAACAAAAGGACAATTATAAAAAAATAATATCATGTCTTATTTTTTTTTTCTCGCATGACAATCGGTGATCAACTTTTGGATATTTCTCATAATCTCATTCTAATCACTTGGAATTTTATCCGTATTTTATTTATTTATTTATTTATATATACATGTTATGTATATATATTGCTTTTCTAAGGCATATAGAATTATAAATATTAAAAAATGCTAAGATTTAGTCACATCGTTAATCATACTTATCAATTATGATTACTGTTGGATTTTAGGCGTATGAACCTAGCGTACGCGCAGCGGAATTTTAAATTTTTTTTACCAACAACGAAGATCTATAGCTAATCCATATATGATCCTAGATCGCGTGAATGATAAACGAAAACTTATAGTTGTTCGTCTATGTCCTCGACTATGGTATTCACGCAATCTAATTTTCCGATACACGATCTAACGCCAATGAATCATTTCTGGTGAAGAAGCTCGGAATCCTTGATCCAAAAAGCTAGATAGTGTTTTTATTGTACGATGAATATTCTCTCTCCTTCTCTCATCTAATGATCGTTGAAGACTACAATGAGATAACATTTTGAGAACATTGTATGAACTTTCTATTCTCACTTTTTCCTCAAATCTATATACTAATAAAGAGAAATAAGTCTATAAATATTATTATTATTTTATTTAAGAATTATGTGTTTGATATTAAAAATATTTGTTTTTGGAACAAGAATCTAACAATCTATAATTCTTATGATATACCTACAATTTTTTTCCCGAAATGATAGATGAATATTATAAATCAAAATGCACAAAAGTGCGACTACACAGCAACCACCGACTAAATAGACAACAGCCAACAGATGAAAAAGTGGAAGGACAGGTCAGGAGACCGCCTAGAATCCCGACTAGCAACGCTAGAATAAAAAACACTCACAACCAAACTAACCAGCAACACAAACAACTAAACCAACTAAAAAAACTACTCGAGTGTCTGACCCTAACAGAGTAATACCCGAGTGTCGGACAAACAGGGTAATAAGGTGACACTCGGGTGTACAAATTGACACTCGGGCTCACAGGGGTCAAAGACCCAAACAAAAAATGCAAGATACTCGCAACACAAATACAGAAACATAAACAAAACACAAGAAAAAAATAAATAAACTAAAAGAAAACTAGAAGCCCTTCCCCAGCGAACATAACTAAATATAATTATTATTTATAAATTCACATAAGTTAATTATATATTTAAATTATCATAAATCAATAATAAATTGTATAAATCAATTACTAATTAGTAATTAGTAGGGTTAAATGGAAGGCCAAAGTTTAAAACTAGAGTAAAATTTGTTGGTTATTTATTATTTGTTATATACTTAAATATTAAAAAGATTTTTTTTAAAAAAAGTTTAATAACTAGCTATGCCTAAAAAGATCAAAAGTAAAACCCTAAAAGGTTTTTTCTCTCGCCCTCGTCTCCCCCAAATTCATCAAACCCTAGGCGCCGCTCTCTCCTTTTCGCTGCCTTCCACGGGGCTTCCAGGCTCCACCGGCCGTCGTCCTCTGGCCACTCGGCCCTTTCCCGCCGTCGCCTTAATGCGATTTTGACTGATTTCGCCCAAATCCACGCCTCCCCGTTGTGTTGTTGTTGCGGTTATGCATAGCTGCAACCCTGATGCTCCGGTGCAGAGGTAAGGTGAAGGCGCGACTCCAGAGCTCTGGTTCTGCGGTGCTGCTCCGCCTCTGTTTCTCGACGGCCTCTGCGGGGATGCGTTGCTGCGGGGAGTGGCGGTGGATTTTGGGCGAGGTGAGGTGCAGAGGTGCTGCGGGAAGGGATTGGGTGCGGCTCCAGCGTCTCTCGGCTTCTGGCCAGAGTAGCTAGGGCGGCTTCTTCGAATTTGCTCCCTTCCCAGGTTCTCAGGTGCTAGTCCCGGGGTACTAGGGCTGAGCATGGTGCGGTTCGGTCAAAAACCGAACTGCACCGCAAAAAAAACCGAAAACCGATTTTCTGAAATTTCTTAACCGCACCGCACCGCAAGAGAAAAAAAACCGAACCAAACCGAACCGAAAAGTTCGGTTCGGTGCGGTGCGGTTTTTCGGTTAACCGCAAATAAAAAAAATTACTACAAACAAAAAAAAAATACAAACAACATCTCATTATGATTATGCCATTACAAAATCAAAATTAAACAACCACAATAAGTCCAACACTCAAAATTTTCTTTTTTATGTTTTAAAAGTGTAACATGTATACAATATATATGTAGAGTGGTAAAATTAAAATGACACTTTTTTTAATATGTGGTGCTGTTCGGTTAAAAGCCGCACCTTTCGGACGGAGAACCGAACCGCACCGAAACATATGCGGTTTTTCAAAATCCAAACCTCACAGTTAACCGAGCTCGTCAAAAACCGCACCGAATCGCTCGATTCGGTTCGGTTTTTCAATTTCAGCTCGGTTTTGCTCACACCTACGGGGTACTTACCGACTAGTATGGTGTTGCTAGTGGTGTTAGTCGACCCAGACTGTGATGGTTGGGTACCCTCTCTGGCGTTGGGTCCTGGTGTGTTTGCTGTTGGTACCAGGTTGCTAGTGGTGTTAGTCGGCTCGATACTGCGGCGTCTGGGAGCTTTCTGGAGTTGCAGTTTCGGGGAGAATTGACATTGCTGGAGTATCTATGCGTGGGATCCGGCTCAGCTAGGCGATTAGGCAGTGGAGGGGTCGACTTTCTTGGGCTAAGGGATTCTTCCGGGGTCGATTTGGTGTTTGCCGGTTCGTCTCGAATATGCTTCAGTGGAAGGGCTTGTTTTTTTTGTTTTTTTTTGTTTTTGTGTTTAGTGTTTCTATTGTTTGGTTGTTTGTGTTTGGTTGTCTGTGTTTGTGTTGTTTAGGCGCTTGTGTTTTTTGTTTGGGCTGTTTGCCTCTGTTAGCTTGAGC